TTGCCTGCACCACTTGACCACTTGCCTGCACCACTTGACCACTTGCCTGCACCACTTGACCACTTGCCTGCACCACTTGACCACTTGCCTGCACCTAACAGGGACTGACTCCGAAAAGCCACTTCTAGAACTCTCTAAGTTGGCCTTTCGGTACTGTAGCAGCTACGACTTTGCCCTTTCAGGTAAGTAGCAGCTACGACCTTGACTCTTCAGGCAGTCTTCAGCTACAACTCCGGAACTGTCTAGACTTCTACCCTACAGGTCTACAGTTCGATTCCAGTCTATCCTGTGCCCTATGACAATCTACCTACCACTGGCGGTTCTACAGGTCGCAGGTTCAACTCTTCGAGTTGACGTAGATATTATACACAGGTAAGTTGGGGAACTAGGGATCAAGCCCTGGGATCTGCCTCAGCTACCACGAATTGGTGAATACCGTTTCATCTCTCATAATATCCAGCAATTCGGGGGGCCGTGTGCATCAGAGTAGACCTGTTCTTTTTTTTTCTTTTTTCTTTTTTTCAACTTGTTTGTTTTAAAACAGGACCTTACGATCCTTGCTCCTTTTCCATTCTGGGGAGTGTCAGTCTGGTTCCTATTCCACCGGCAAGTCTGAATAACATTACAACAGTAACGCACTCACGCTTCCTTCCGTCTGGCCGAAGGACCCCTGAACAGCATTGATTACTCCAACGTAGTGGAGGATTGACTGTCAGCTTGCCCTGCTTTTCTCTTTCCTCTCAGGTCTGTTAGCTAACCTGCCAGATCTATCGTGAAAAACTAGAAAGAGCTAAGCGGCTACTCAAGCTGACTCTTGTGACCCCTCCTTGAAAACCTGTCCGTATGTCTCAAAACCGTCTTGTCTCTCCTTAAATCTGTTTACAAGACGGTTCCAAAACCCTAAACCCTAAACCCTCCTTTTGAAGTTTTGCAAGGAACCCCCGGGCCATCTTAGCTCATCAGCTCATAAGGCCTGCAGTGGGACTTATTCATTTGGTACCTTGAGCATTTGTCTTTTTCACCCCGTATCAGAATTTAGCCAGTCTTTCCATCAGCGTTGCCAGCTACCCACTTGTCTTCTTCCTTGTCCCGGCTAGCATTGGAACTTGACTGCCTGAATCTTGCTTGCCCCCCTTCTTGGTCTTCGTACATACCCGTGATCAACGCCCTTTTCCACGTCTTCCCTTTCCTCCATGGTGGGTGGATGCAAGTTGTGTCTAGTACACTGTCTACCCTGCCTTTGAGCTTGAATGTCCGGTGCCGCTGTGCGGCATCAATTTGGAAGTGTGGACAACCAGATCGGTTCTCAAGTAAGATGGCACATCAATCAGGTAAGATGGATGACCCTATCTCCGAGCCCTATCACCGACCGCCTTCGGTATCTTCCAGGGCCCATCTTGGTCTTCGTGCATACCCGTGATCAACGCCCTTTTCCACATGTGCCCTTTCCCCCATGGTGGCTGGATGCAAATTGTGTCTAGTACACCATCTACCCTACCTTTGAGCTTGAATGTCCTGTGCCGCTCTGCGGCATCAATTTGGAAGTGTGGACAACCAGATCAGTTCAACTTCTCAGGTAAGATGGCACATCAATCAGGTAAGATGGATGGCCCTATCTCCGAGACTCTGGCCTTATCACCGACGACCTTCTGTACCTCCCAGGGCCCACACCACTTTGGCAGAAGTTTTATGAATGTCCCTTCCTCCGGCGCTAACTCGTCCGTGCTGACCCAGACGTGTTCTCCCTCTCGGAATGCGGAATCTGCGTGGACAGCTTAACACATTGGGCCCATGCCTTATCTTGACAGGGAACAGTCGTCTACCACTCCCTCAATTTCTGGGAGAACTCCAGCTACGTAGTGCACTTGGTAGACTCAGCAATATCTACACCTGCTTGGAGAGCTTCACTGTCCGCCCACTCTCTCGCTGCCCGAAATCACGAGATGAATGGTACCAGTCCCCGGTGTCCGCCCACTCTCTCGCTGCCGGAAAACACGACATGAATGTTACCAGTCCCCAGTGAGCTCGTACTAGTGCCCGGTGAATCGGTGATGGATGGCAGACATCCTCCTCGAGTCGGCCTCTTAGTTTCTACGGTGTCTCCAGCATGATGGGCTTTGACATGCATTCCCTTTCAGCTTCCACTTTTGGACTCCTTTTTGAGGAGCCCAAAAGTGGTGTCCTTGGGCCTGCTTGACGCTGCTGCTCGCCGTGCTCGGGTGCAATGGCGTCCAACTTGCCGCCTATGAACTGCATTGATTTCATTGAGCTTAGCCCTTCATCACAGCCAGCTCGTCCAAATTGTCGGATTGTTGAAGTATGGAGAGAGCTGCTAGTCTATCTCCCACATGATCGGCGATGCTGCAATCCGCTTGGAGTCTGCCTTTGTTTTCCCTTTCCTCTTCCTTCTTACTGGCCCTCTCTGCCAACTGCAAGTTCCTCGTCTCCAATGCTGCGAACTCAAACCTATTACATCACGATTCCCCATGGCTGGTTTCGTCTTTGCAACCTTCTTTCTTCTTCTTCTTTTCAGGGGTGAACAACGGCTGGTGTACACGGGCTTTCTCTCTCGCCTGTACGTGGGTTTGCATGTACGCCCTGCACCTCTCTTCCTCCTACCTCTATTCAATTCGACTACCGCGTCGTCTTCTCTTTCTCCACGGTTATTATCCTTGCTGACAACACTGTTAAAAGACGTACATCATGCAGTGGGTAGATCTCTGATGGGAAGCGATTGATGACGTGGTGCTGCATGTCGCGTCAGAGATGCTGATGTGGCAGCTTGGAGTACTCAATCGCTTGGCCAACGTCCAGATCACGGACAGCTTCCATACCAGTGTTCAGAATTTACCAAACTTCTATTTACTTTTACCATACACACTGAATTGAAGGCAAACTCATGAAAATCACGATTGATGGGACGTTTAAACACCAAGCTTGTGTTGTCCCATCAGCTAGCTCAGTAGGTTTCATGCCTGGATGGCACCGCGAAGGCGCTCGGTTCCATTCCCGTTGCCGTCACCCGGCACTTTCAGTGGCCCGAGGAGGATTGGTGGCCACGCGGCCAGTCAACACTGGTAGCGGCGAGTTGTGCCGCCCTGTAAACGATAGCAATGAGGGAGCACCAGGCCAAGTGGAAGTGGCTGCTCAGGTCCTGCTGCGGCTGGTCGGGACATGCCCAATACACATCCCAACACAGCTCTCAGGTTGACTTCTCAGTCAATACTACCATAGCTGACATTCATGGTTCGATTACGATGCCTATCAGGATTCTTTTCTACGCAAAGGCCAACGAAGTACCGCCCTGTAAACGGTAGCAATGAGGGAGCACCGGGCCAAGGGGAAGTGGCTGCTCAGGTCCTGCTGCGGCCGGTCGGGACACGCACAATACACATCCCAACACAGCTCTCAGATTGACTTCTCAGTCAATACTACCATAGCTGACATTCATGGTTCGATTACGATGCCTATCAGGATTCTTTTCTACCCAAAGGCCAACGAAGTATTAAAGCACCAGGGTCATTACCCGGCTTCAGCTGAAGAAAGTCTGAGAACGAATTGAACCAATTACTAACGAGACAGCCTCAAAGAGGCTTATGAAAAGAGAGGAGCCTTCAGCCCGAAACCAAACTGCCTTGGTGACAGGATTTTAAAATTTTAACTCGTACATTTCTGTTTAGTCGTTAAATTGAAACTGGAGGGGTTCTCTACTTCCAGTGTCACTGAGTCGTTAAATTGAAACTCGAGGGGTTTACTTGTGTGTACCACTACACACATGTCTGTAAGTCGTCCAGAAACCGTCCAGAGACATGGAACTAGGAACAGTTACATGTGTGTACCATTCAGCGACATGGGGCCTTGCTCCACGGCACAACACTCTTACATGCACTTGCCAATGGACGGTTTCTGGACCACGTGCATTTGGACGAGTCCAACATTTTGAATACATCCGTTGCAGCAAGCGTCCAAATGCATGTAGAGGGTCGTGTACTGGAGTGAGGCCCAACGCTGGGCTGGGTAGGGCTTCCATGTTGCTCTGTAAGCCACTGTTGGCCTTTTGTACCATGTTAATGCGACAGAGCCGGGATATGGAAAACTGCCTCCACCCACTTCATGACCAGGCAACATCCCTTTTTTTCAGGTTCAAGATTTCAGTGTTTAGGGTTTAGGGTTTAGGGTTTACCACTTTACATTCTATGCTCTAGGCAAGTGAAGAGGTCCCCCCGCCTTGCCTTTACAACACCATATCATATATAGCTCCTCTCTTTCTTTTCTTTTCTTTGTCTTTTCAATTTCTTTTTTTTTTTTTTTTTTTCTTTTTTTTTTCTTTCCCAAAAGCAATATAGCTCCTCGACTGTGTGCTTGTTGAAATGAAATGCTGTTCAACAGGCACACGGTTGACGAGGTATTTATTTATTTATTTATTTATTATTGACTATTTAATATTTATTCAACAGCCACGCTGTTCGAAATGAAATGCTGCTCAGATACAAAATGCACAGAAGTCATTTCTTTAAATTCTTTTTCCTTTTTCTCATTCGAAAGGTTGTGCAGGTCTGAGGAGAGCTACTCATTTGTGTGCCTGCTGAATGAAAGTCATAACCGTACGGAGAAAAAAAAATAAATAAAAAATGTAACACGTATCTGGTCACTGCACGAATGTTTTTCTGTCCATTGCTGAGCAGGTGATGATTGGCGATGACGCCGGTGACACAGCGTCCTTCGAGGATCTCCTGAAGAAAGTATCAGAATGCGCGAAGGCGGAGGAGGCATCCCTCAAACGAGCACTAGGGCTGCGTACCAGGCTCTCAGAATTGGTCTGTCGGTTGAACAATCCCAATCCTGCTCACCCCAACTTAAACCGCCAGTACTTGGCCCAGCTATCGGCCGCAGAAAAAATAGAGTAGAAACGTTTCTAGTCGGATGAATCTGGGCGCTCCTGTAGTGGCCCATACATTTCCTAAAATTTTGGCTTGTTTACGGGGATGACTTTAGGAAGTACTGGTGGTTCAAGCTACCAGTGTCAACTTGACGGCATCTCCTCCCGAATCTGATCCCCAGCCAGGCTCCATAGCTAAGTCGAAGGCAGGAGAGAGGTCCCTGAATCCTGATAACAGACAGACTCTGCAGGTTCTCAATGAAAATGCACCTTTTTTTTTTTYTTTTTTTTTTTTTTGTTGAAACAGGTCCGATCTATTTGTGGGGAGCAGCACGTGCTGGGAACCGGGCCCAGCGTCCCATTGTTGGAAGCGTGATCAGAAACGAAAACATCGAAAGACTGGACCTACTGTACCATCCTGCCAGCATTGATTACCCTTTCTTATGAGGGGAACAATGGCAGCCCCTTAAACATTTCGGCAAGGCATTTGGAGACTGTTGGTGTAGCGGTGGTGTGCCGCACAGACTCTGCACAACCTTTCAGGGGGAAAGTCATTGCCCCTCTCCTCCCCCCCCCCCCCCCCCCCCCCCCCC